CCTATGCCTCCCACTCTACCATAATATATAAGAGCAAGAACTCATTTTAAGCTATAGTGCAATCACCTCTATGTGATTACACAAACGCATATAAATCAGGACAAAATATTTTTTGGAATCGAATGAATGTTGAAGTTGTTTGATTTTTAGAATATAATTTGGTAATTTTCTGGTTCTGATATGGCAAAACCCCTTGCTAAAAGAAATATTTCCAGGGGCAAGGGGAGGGACTTCTGGTGGCAAATGTTGGGGGTTAGAGGGCGGGACTTCCAGTCACAAGATGGCAACAAAGGGGCAGTGCACCTGTCAAGGGGTGGGGCTACCCATACAGCCCTCAACAGCTTGCCAAAACTCGGTAAGCAGCCCTCTGCCCAAAATAATTGCCTGCCCCTGCCATAGAGGTTGTGGAGTTTCCATCCTTGGGGGTTTTTAAGACCCAGCTAGACAAATACTTGACCAGGTTAATCTAGTTGGGGATGGTCCTGTTTTGAGCAGAGGGTTGGACTAGACCTCCTGAGGTCCCTTCCAACCCTAATTTTCTATGATTTTATGATTCATATTAGCTATGTGCAAAAACAACTTAAATACATAGCATCTTTCAGTTCTACTATCTACTTTGTGACATACTTATACTCCAGTTAACTGTACAGAAATGGTGAGAAGAAGCAGTGATCAAAGGGCTGTTCTTAGAAGTCTTTAAAATGATGGGAACTAATCAATTTAAGGGTTGCTATCTCCCCTTATTTTACAGGCTTCTAAGCTGTGCAGCTTTTAGCTTCCCGAAGCTACTTCCTGTTGCTTTCAAGGCCTCTAATAGCAACCTTGAAAATCTTAGAAACCTTGAACATGATGAGAGCCAGCCAGTATCAGGGTTGCTAATTTCACAGTACTGAGAGCGCTATGTACTTACCAGCACAGTTTACATTAAGTTCTGATATTCCCAGTAAGGGCTTAGGCTTTTTTCAGTCCCGAGGCTACACATTTATACAAAGTACACTGTACTCTAAAAATGAGTCAAAGCTTCAGCATATTCAGAAAAGGCAAGGAAGCAATTTAAGTAGCAGCCACCGGGGTCCATGAAAGTCCCATCTGGAATGAGTGATAGGAGATGCCTGGAAGCAAAGTCCTTCTTATTTCCAACTGGTGAAGTCCAATGAGAAGGTTCTCAGACACCGCTGGATGTGCCATTGAATAACTGAAGGTGTCACTGAGACAGTATTTAGAGTCACTGAAAAGCTTTTTCACTGAGGTCTTAACAACTGTCCCAGTAAATCCATGTGGCACGTATCAAAAAGGAGGGGCTATTAAATAGATCCTAGTGCCTATACATATGCCTATACATTGTAATTATAAAGCTTCAGCGTGGCATCACTGTCATGTGTATAAGCCCCTGCATGTTTAAAAATGGCCACTGTGGCACTTTGTCTAAACCTCCTCTAATGACGTTTAAATAAAGCATCCCGCAGCCGTTTTAAACCTGCAGGGGCTTAATACACATGAAGGTGAGACATTTTAATTAGAGCAGCTCTCCAGAAACTGCTCAAATTAAAACGTACCCACCCTACTCCCAAATGTGTATAGGCAGCCATGCAGTTGGAAATAAATACAGAGCTCTCCACCCAAGTGCCATGAGGTGGAGAAACAGTAGATGAATAAATAGCTGTGTCACTTCCAGCATAAGGGCTCCAGCACTGGAGCTTTTCAAATACCGTGTTTAGAGAAAAAGCACAAGCTCTTGGGATTCATGGGCAACACTGCAAGGATATATGATCCCCACCCCAAATGCTTTCCACTTATTCACAGATTAAATGACTGGGGCAGAGATAAGGTAAAAGTTGATATTGAAATTTCTGTTACTTACCCATAATTCCACAAGAGAAGAGAGTAGGTCCTTGACTCATCTTTGGGGTGTGCTGAAAACAACCAGAAAAGCTATTCATTTTTCACAGACTTGACCGGTTCGTTAGAAGTCATTCCAAACTGTAGGCCCTATCTGCCATCTTAACTAACACTAGTAGTGCGAGAAAAAGGAGTAAAATCAAGCCCTCACTGACTCACCCAAAGAAGTATGTGGCCTGGCTGATGGCAGGACAGTCTCGGGCCTCAACCAAAGCACTACGCTTCCTTCATCTTTCTCCAGTTCACCACATTTTTGTAAAACTACCAAATAGCAGCATCCGGGCCCAATCATGCAAACCTGTACTCATGCACGAAACCCTTCCCCATCTGCGCAGTTCTGCTGAAGTCAGGCACTCCTTATCACATGGCCCACAACCCTAAATGCTGGAGGAGCTAAACAAAGTGCTGGACTTCAGCAATAATTTTGTGTTGGGGCAACAAGAAACCAGGAGATTTACTGGGATTTGAATCCCTGAAAGGCTCATTAAAGTTCCCCATCGAGATACCAAAAGACAAATGTTTTCTATATAAATATGTAGTGCACTTGTAATGGACAGCTTCTATTTCAGAGATTTTTCAAGGGATTCTCACAAAATTTGGATTGTTCTTCTCTTATTAATAAGACAGAAGGGCAAATACTACTTATTGACAACATAATTCCAGCAATGTTTTCATGTTTTTCATTTTAATTCCCTTTCCAAGAATTCTTCTCCCGACAGCATACTCATGACTTCTAAAACCCCCATTTCAGCTTTATGTACAATCAATCAGGATGACTTTAAAACTGCAAGATATGTTAGCATTGCTTATAAAACCAAACTTTCACAGTAATTGTTCTTTGGTTGTGGGAAATGTCTGTATTTAACTCCTGAAGTTTCCTCCCTGCAACTCAAGGCCACTTAAATACAATGGTCATTACTTTAGTTAAGTAAAGCAACAGCATAAACTCCAAGGTAATTCTTTTTGCCAGAGGTGCATTTTATCTGGGTTTAGGTAACTGTGCTGGCATCAACTTCTCTCCTAATTACTATTTCATATGTTGCCTATGTATGTAATAACGTGCTTGCTCCTGACAACCCCTATGAAAAGCAATCCAATGGAAGGATGCTAATCACTATGCATAATGCCATAAATGTTGTAGTCTACTTTAGAGTGATACGGAGGTAGAAAGTGCCAATTTTGCAGATTGGCAGAAAATATTTGAATTGTAAGCCAAGTTTGGCCCCCTTTTCAAAGCATACTGTCACTCTTCAGATAAAGTAAAATGTTGCTCTATCAGGACTGAATTTGTTTTACAGGGAAGTTTAAATGAGCCAAAAACCCAGGATGCAAAAGAAAGGCCAAATTAAAGTTAACATGACACCTGAATGTACACTACAAAAAACAATATTTTTGAGCCTATATGCCCATGCAGCAAGTATCAAAGAATAGCAGGCATTGGCTTGAGACAAGAAGTTAACACCTAGAAATGAGGAAGAGAGAAACAGTTTGACATGACATACGTTCCTATATTAAGTATAATTATCATTTCAAAAGACAGGTTTTGCCCCAAAACTGGGAAGTAAAACAATGAAGTGGTCCATTGGGGTTTTTTTATTTGGTTTTTGTTGATATGGTTTTTGTTCAGACTCTTTATAAACAAACATCTATACCAATTTAACATTGCAGGCAAACAGGGAAACAAGAAATGTATAACCAAACCATGATTACAGTACTGCCGTGCTACCAAGAGTGTGATAGACATTTAACAAACAGAGAAGAGACAAGAGCCGTGCACTGATGCAACTGTATTTGAACTGGGCTCCACACAGTCTCAAGAACTAACTTTGCCCTCAGCAGAGGGATTGGGTGGGCTGCTTGTCTTATTTTACTGTTGGCAGCTGCAGGTGCCTTGATAGTAGATAGACCATGTTATATTCACTCCAAACCAGTGAATCAAAGCACTTGATCTCATTACTAGCCTTGCTTAGCACTTTGGCAGTTGCTTTTGCCCCTGCCACACAGCCCCACAATTTTTAAGTGGGCTTCAGCCCACAATCTGAGGAAGGCCTGACATCCTGGGAGAATCTTTCAGACTGCTTAAGTTTCATCATTTTTATCCCAACTATTTTTTTCATATATTTTCTATATTGGTTTGTTGCTAAAGTAATTGATGCTCAAATGAGGAACCTGCTCCCTCACAGCCTGTTTTTGTCTCTTCTTTGGGCTGCAAGTTAGAATGCTGAATCTGAAACCTCTGAACTGCTGTCACCTGCCCCATGTAAACAGGGCCCTGTGATCACTGAATGTGGAGCTCGGCTCCTACAACATGCTTTGTCCAACACCAGCTATACAACTAGCAGCTGCATGGATGCCACCTACTTCCTGCCCCAAGCTCTTCATCTGCGTTGGAGGGTGGTTCTGACAGGTAACGAGAGAAACTCTCCGCTGTTTCTCAGTGGGAGGGTCATATTCTACAATGTTCAAAAATAAAATTCAAAGGAAAACCCAGAGTTTTCTCTATCAAATCCAGGTTATTCTTACATGAGTGGAGCTTATAGGAAGCAATGGCTCCATGTCTAGTTGGCAACCAGTATCAAGTGGAGTGCCCCAGGGGTCGGTCCTGGGGCCGGTTTTGTTCAATATCTTCATCAACGACCTGGAAGGTAACAGTGCACCTTCAGCTGTGGGGGGTAGTAGATATGCTGGAGGGTAGGGCTGGGATTTGGAGTGACCTAGACAAATTGAAGGATTGAAGGCCAAAAGAAATCTCATGAGGTTCAACGAGGACAAGTGCAAAGTCCTGCACTTAGGACAGAACAATCCCATGCACTGGTACAGGCTGGGGGCTGACTGGCTGGGCAGCAGCTCTGCAGAAAAGGACCTGGGGGTTACAGTGGACAATAAGCTGAATATGAGCCAACAGTGTGCCCTTGTTGCCAAGAAAGCTAATGGCATATTAGGCTGCATTGGTAGCTGTGTTGCCAGCAGGTCAAGGGAAGTGATTATTCCCTTCTACTCAGAACTGGTGAGGCCACATCTGGAGTACTGTGTTCAGTTTTGGGCCCCCCCACTACAGAAAGGATGTGGACAAACTGGAGGGAGTCCAGTGGAGGGCAACAAAATTGGTTAGGGGGCTGGGGGACATGACTTAGAAGGAGAGGCTGAGGGAACTGGGCTTATTTAGTCTAGAGAAAAGAAGACAGAGGGAATTTAGTAGCAGCCTTAACTACCTGAAGAGGGGTTTGAAAGAAGATGGAGCTAGAATGTTCTCAGTGGTGGCAGATGACAGAACAAGGAGCAATGGTCTCAAGTTGAACAAAGGATGTTTAGGTTAGATATTAGGAAAAACTCTCACTAGGAGGGTAGTAAAACACTGGAACAGGTTACCCAGAGAGGTTGTGGTATCTCCATCCTTGGAGGTTTTTAAGACCCAGCTAGACAAAGCCCAGGCTGGGCTAGGTCTGCTGGAGTTGGTCCTACTTTGATAAGAGTGTTGGATTAGATGACATCCTGAGATGTCTTCCAATCCTTATTTTCTATGATTCTATGAGTGAATGGGGCCCTGTGACTACAGAAATACACAGTGTCAGCCACTCTGTTGTCAACACACCTAATGGGTAGAGGCATAGGGACGTGGTACTGGGAATCAGAGACATGTCATGTAATACTGACCCCAATTAAATAAATGGCAGAACTCCTAAAGGCAAGTGTGTCAGTTCTTCCAGGTTTCATAGTTTCATAGTTGGTAGGCTCGGAAGGGACCTGAGCAGATCATCAAGTCCAACCCCCCTGCCATGGCAGGAAAGAGTACTGGGGTCAAACGACCCCAGCAAACAACCCCAGCAAGGTTGGCTGATCTCGTACGGCGTGCTTTAAACTAGTTTCGCCAGGGGATGGGGCCACAGGGGGACACGACAACACTTCCCAGCCAAGACAGGCAATGAGCACAACAAGTACCCAGGTAAATAACAGGGGTCTGGATAGTCCTGGGATCAGGGTGGTGGTACATACACCCACAGGAGGCCTTAATGCTCGTAGTATGGGAAACAAGCAGGAGGAACTTGCCCTCCTGCTAGGAAACCAAACTCGGACATAGTGGGGCTCACTGAAACATGGTGGGATTCAAACCATGACTGGGCAGTAAACATCAAGGGTTACAGACTGTACAGGCAGGATAGAACGGGGAGGAAAGGTGGAGGTGTGGCGCTCTACGTCAAAGAGCAATACGCATCCTCAACAAATAGCACTGGGTCAGAGCAGGGGCAGACTGAAGTGCTCTGGGTTAGAATACAAGGGGGGTCGGGGGGAAAGGGACTTAATGGTGGGTGTCTACTACAGGCCACCCAACTAGGGGAAGAGCTGGACTGGGAATTCTCAGGTCAGCTCACAGAGGCAGTTAAGTCAAGGGACGCAGTCATCATGGGTGACCTAAACTACCCAGACATCTGCTGGGAGGAGCAGTCAGCCAGGTCTGACTGCTCACGTAGGTTCCTAGCTAAGATATAGGACCTCCACCTAACCCAGGAGGTGCACGGTCCCACCAGGGGAAATGCCTTGCTGGACCTGGACCTGGACCTCAGGCCACAGGCGATGACCTGGTAAGGGAACTGCGGGTTCTCAACCACCTGGGCGATAGCAATTATCGCCTACTGGAATTGACCATCCAGCGCAAGGTCGACAAAGACCTGCACCAAAGCAGCACCCCTTGACTTGAGGAGGGCCAATTTCAATGAGTTAAGGAGATTAGTCGGGGAGGCACTGAGGTCCTGGAGGGGAGGGGAGTTGGGAGTTCAAGATGAGTGGTCATTCCTTAAGGAGACAATCCTCCGAGCCCAAAGGATGACAGTCCCAAAGCAAATCAAAGGGGGCAAGAGTGCTCAAAAGCCCCCATGGCTCACCAAAGGCATTCAGGAACATCTGAAAGTTAAAAAGGAGGCATACACCCAATGGAAGGGAGGGGCCATCACCAAGGAAGATTATACTTCCATTGTTCAAGACTGTAGGGGGGCTGTTAGGAAGGATAAGGTGGAGACAGAACTTGGACTATCAACCAGGATCAAAGATAACAAGAAGTCCTTTTTTAAATACATAGGGAGTAAAAAGATGGCACTGCGTAACATGGGGCCCCTGCGGGACACGCTTGGCTATCTGGTGGTTGCACCAGACAGTAAAGCTGACCTCTTTAACAAATTCTTTGCCTCCATTTTTCTGAGCAAGGACCGGGACATCACCCCCACTGGGATTCTGGACAGACTCAGGAGATGCACCACCAGGCCTAGGGTCAGAGAGGACCTAGTCAGGGAACTTCTGGTGGGACTGGATGTACTCAAATCAGCAGGTCCAGATGATCTCCACCCCAGGGTGCTGAGGGAATTGGCAGAGGTCACTGTGGGACCCCTGGCACAGCTTTACAAGCACTCGTGGTGCTCTAGTGAGGTGCCAGAGGAGTGGAAAAGGGCCAATGTGGTCCCCATTTTCAAAAAAGGGAGGAAGGAGGACCCAGAAAACTATAGGCTCATTAGTCTTACCTTGGTCCTGGGGAAGCTCTTTGAGAAAATTATGCAGGAGCACGTCTGTGAGGGACCAGCAGGGGAGATTATGTTTAGGGGAAACTAACATGGGTTCATTAAGCCAGGTCATGTCAGACCAGCCTGGTTGCCTTCTATGACCAGGTCACGAAATCCTTGGATGCAGGTGTTGTGGTGGATGTAGTCTTTCTGGACTTTAGGAAGGCCTTCAACACTATCTCTCACCCCATTCTCATTAAAAAATTAGGCAACTGTGGCGTCAATGCTTACACAGTCAGATGGGTCACAAATTGGCTAGAGGGCCACACCCAAGAGAGTGGTGGTGGATGGGTCATTTTCGAGCTGGAGGGATGTGGGCAGTGCGGTCCCCCAGGGCTCGTTCCTCAGGCCCGCACTGTTCAACATCTTCATCAGTGACTTGGACGAGGGGGTGAAAAGCACCTTGTTCAAATTCACAGATGACGCTAAGATGTTGGGAGAAGTAGGCACGCTAGAAGGGAGGGACAGGCTACAACTAGATCTGGACAGGTTACAAGGGTGGGCGGGTGAGAATAGGATGGGTGTCAACACTGACAAGTGCAAGGTGATGCACCTAGGGAGGAAGAACCAGCAGCATACCTACAGGCTGGGGAACTTCCTTCTCGTCAGTACAGAGGCAGAAAAGGATCTTGGAGTCATTATTGATTCCAAGACGACCATGGGCCGTCAATATGGGGATGCAGTCAGGAAGGCTAACCGCACCTTGTCATGCATCCACAGATGCATCACGAGTAGGTCCAAAGAGGTGATCCTCCCCCTCTATGTGACATTGGTCAGGCCACAGTTGGAGTACTGTGTCCAGTTCTGGGTGCCACACTTCAAGATGGATGTGGACAACAGAGAGGGTCCAAAGGCAGGCCACTTGCATGATTGGGGGCAGCAGGACAGACCCTACGAGCGGAGGCAATGGGACCTGAACCTGTTCAGCCCCCACAAGAGAAGGCTGAGAGGGGATGTGGTAGCCCTCTATAAACTTACTAAGGGGGACCGGCAGGGAACAGGAGAGTCCCTGTTCCCCCAAGCACTACCAGGAGTAACTAGGAATAATGGCCATAAGTTGACTGAGAGTAGGTTCAGGCTAGATATCAGGAGGCACTACTTCACAGTCAGGGCGGCTAGGATCTGGAACCAACTTCCAAGGGAAGTCGTGCTGGCTCCTACCCTGGAGGTCTTCAAAAGGAGGCTAGATATTCACATAGCCAGGGTCGTTTGACCCCAATACTCTTTCCTGCCTGTGGCAGGGGGTCAGACTTGATGATCTGCTCAGGTCCCTTCCGACCCTATCAACTATGAAACTATGAAACTATAATTTTCACTGGGGCTAAGATTTCATCCCAGATTGTTTGTAGCTACAATACTAACTCACTGTATGACCTTGGAGTCACTGCACCCCTCTACTTCAGTTTCTCCACTCTGGGGATAATGATCAAGCACTCTGAGATACTCAGATGTCCGGCAGACTAATACAATTGAAAGGAAAAAAAAATTTAATACTGCTCTGCACATCCTTCACATATTCCATTCAAAGAGGGCAAATTCCTATACAAACTCTAATGGTATATGCCCTCGGAGTCTGAAGAAGTGGGCTTACGCTACCCCAGATATGGGGAAACTGAGGTGCAGCATGGTACAGACTCATCCCAGGTCTTCCAATGTGCCAATGGCACAACTAGGCATACAGCCTTGACCTCCTGTGTCCTAGGGCTGTGTTCCAGCTAGTGGAGATGCCTCTCCTCATCCATGGAGTAAGACAGTATTTGACCACTAATGCATCCAGTAATGTTACCAAGAACACTGAATCTTCCGTTATTTTTAAGTATTCTTTTCCAAAATGTAAGCTCTTGTTAAATTCATCTGCTGGTATTTGAAAACTCTCTCTGACTTTCTTGTCTTCTCCTCCACTCCATCCTATCTGGTTAGTCTGCTGATTTCCCTCTGAAGACTCATGTAATCCAACCATTCCACCCTACCGCATGCTATTAGCTATTAGGTAACACTAACGCAACATATTCCACTGTCAGTTTCATGGGTCCTGAGTTTACATGTCATGCACCCTCAAATGCTCACTTACGGCATACATCTGCGAGGCATTCCCTGCCAGGCACTGAGCAGACTCATCCCCCACTGGTACTCAACATCTTCCCTTTGCTCTAGAAGCATTTCCCAGCAACAACACCTTGTTCTCATTAGTTTTGTGCTCCTTGACTGCTATGAGATATCCACACATGTCTGAGACTAGCACTGACTGAGCTTACTCAGATTGAGCTCTAATATTGTCACCCCAGGCCACTTTTGTACTTGGTGCTTTCCAGGTATTAGTTCCTAATTTGCACTTGTGCTATTTATTTCTCCTCTTTAGGTACGCTCAGCTTGCAGTTGTGCTGCGCCAATACATTTGCTCTTTCTTTCTCTTTTGCTCTTGCTGCCCCTCTGATTTTTCTGTGTTGTCAGGTCATTCTAAATTGGATTTGCATCTTTTTCTTGATTGTTAATGAAACTGCCCCACTTAACACTGCTCCCCACTTGCTCATTGGACTACTAATGATGACAATCTGTTTGCTGTTAGTCAAACAACTACTAACCCATGCTATTCATCCAGCTGGTATTTATCCAGTTCTGTAATACATTATTATATGACATGACACTGAATGCTTTACTGAGATTCACATGCAACAAACACCCCGTATTCTTGTTTACTAAAGATCATGTCCCCAGCTGTTGCAAATGAACATGGCTCATTTGAAATCACTGTATCAATGCTTTTTTTTTTCCAACTGAGGATCCAATCCTAAATATGAACTACAAAAATATTATGTAGCTTCTACGCAACTAAACCAAGCAAAGCATTTTGAATTAAGATGTTTTGAATCTTACCAGCTCAGTCCTGCATGTTACAGATTCAGCACCTTTGTTTTCCAGAGTTTTGGTTAAGATCATCACCATGGTAATGAAGTCATGCATTGGAGCCCATTAGAGTACAGGCAAAGGTCACTCTCAGCCATGTTCTGGCAAAGCCGCTGTTTCGATGCATTTTCCCAAGTGAAAAGTTCAGTGGCACCAACTCCCGACTGCCCACTCACAGGATGATTTGACAAGAATAGCTTCCAAATGCTGGTGAGTTCCTGCACACAAAATCAAGGAACAAAGTTTTAAAGCAGTTCACAAACCAGAAAGCTTTAAAGCAAGCCTACAAGAGAAGTAGGGAAAAGGTATGAGACAAATTTTCATGGAAGTAGCCATGAGAAATGAATAGTGGTCCACATTCTCAGTTTTTATTTAAAAAAAAAAAAATCCAGGAATTTTTCAGGGTTTATCTTTGAAACATAAAAACTGGGATGAAATCAGGATAAAAGGAAGAATTTTTTTTAAAAAATCAGTTTAAATTGGGGGAAAAGAATCGGTGGTGAGGGAGGGAGGGAGGGAGTGAGGATGAGACTTGGGAAAAGGTGGGGGGAGGTGCGCAGCACAGCCCGTTGGCTGCTCCCGGGGGTGCAGCAGGGAGCAAAGTGGGGGAGCTGTCAGTGGGTTCAGGGTGCAGCTCTTGCTGCTATGCGCCCCCCCAGGAAGGCTGCAGGTTGCGGGGCCTGTGCCAGGCTCTTCCCAGGGTATGCGTGCCCCTGGATCAGCAGCAGGAAGCACACGGTGCCGCACCTGCCTTTCTTCCCTGGTCGCATTTGTGTCCTTCCCCACTGCTGCAGCATCCTGCTGCCAGGCTGCCCTGGCATTTGTGGGGAGGGGGAGTGGCATGCAGCTGGATGTGGAGTGAGAGGGGACCCGACCCCAGCACTGGCACCTCCCACCCTGCCCAGCATCAGAACTGGGTGCCCCGCACCCAAAGGCAGTGGCTCCAGCCACCCTCCCCCAGCCCCTGCGCGGCCACCACCACCCCCCTCCACATCCAGCTGAAAACCGGTGCCTCAGGTAACTAGCACAGCAGCATTTTTAGCTTACCAGCACCACCCATTTTTCAGTTCAAATCCCTGTTAACCAGCACAAATGAGGAATGGGTCATTCCCCACTCGCGCCACTTAACAGGGAATTTAACTGAAAAATGGATGTAAATCAGTAAAAACTTTAAAAAATCAGGGAATTTATCAGTGAAAAAAAATTGGTAAAAACTGAGAATGGAGAACACTAAAAATGAAGTGCCGCACTTTAGGAAGGATGTGGACAGCATTGAGAGGGTCCAGAGGAGGGCCACTTGCATGATCTGGGGACAGCAGGGCAGACCCTACAAGGAGAGGCTAAGGGAACTGAACCTGTTCAGCCTTCACAAGAGAAGGCTGAGGAGGGACCTGGTGGCTGTCTATAAACTCACTAGGGGGGACCAGCAGGGAATACAAGAGACCCTGTACCCCTGAATACCTCCTGGAGTAACAAGGAATAACGGCCATAAATTGTTTGAGAGTAGGTTCAGGCTGGACATTAGAAGGCACTACTTCACAGTCAGGGTGGCTAGGATGTGGTACCAACTTCCAAGAGAAGTGGTGCTGGCTCCTACCTTGGGGGACTTTAAGAGGAAGCTTGATAATTACCTAGCTTGGGTCATATGAGCCCAGTATTCATTCCTGCCCAGGGCAGGGGGTAGGACTTGATGATCTAATCAGGTCCCTTCCGACCCTACATCTATGAAAGTATGAGTAACCACAGTTTTCCATGGCCACACATCAGCCCGCCATCTGCCATTTTCCCATAAGTCTTTTGTCTTGCCACCCAGGGTTCTGCCAACTATGGGAAGTTTCAGGAACCTA